AGAAAATACTCTATATAGAAATTTCTTTAAAAAGAAATTATTCCTTTCAGATTGTCCCTATCTAGCATCAATATAATCTGGAATCTGAGTATTTGTATTTTGTTTGTTTTTTTAAATATCCTCACCTGAGGATATTTTTTCCATTGCTTTTTAGAGAGAGAGAGAGAGGGAGGGGGAGAGAGAGAAAAAATTCAATGAGAGACACATCAACTGGTTGCCTCCTGTACACATTCCAACCCACTGAGGGCGGGGAGCAAACCTGAACCCAGGTATACGCTCTTGAATGGGAATTGAACCCATGACCCTTCAGTTGCCTGACAATGCTCTAACCGTAGAGCCACACCAGCCAGGGTTGTAGTTTGTATTTTTAAAGATCTTTAGAATTCTTTATTTGGGGCAGCTCAGATAGCTGGGTAGAGGTAGTGGATATTTTCAATGGCTCTTAGAATCCCCTGCCTTTCTTTTCTAGAACTTTGTTCCAATACGAATGCACAGTGCAAATCTTGAGAATAGAATCTTGGCATTAGAGACACTGATAAGGACTTAGAACAACTAACAGATTCTGTGTCTAGAGTAAGAGCGGGACTTGGAGTAGCCCAAGGAGCAAGGAGCCCGGGCAGGAGGGCTTTGCCTAGGATGTCACTGGAATGGGTGGAGTGGTGTTTGGTCCAGAGAGAAGACGGGTGGAGAGGAAGGTGCATGGAGAGATGAGCAGGGTTCTCAGATACTTAAGAAGGGCTGAAGGGAGAGCTGAACTCCACCTGCCAGGCATCGTCAGAGAGCAGGCCTGGGCCCAGGAGAGTAGAGGTTCAGCCATTCTCCGCTCCCGTGGGCAGATCCAGGTCACTGCTTTGTCAATCTCCCACTCAAGAAAAGAGAGTGAGAGTGGAATCACCTCCAATCTGCTCCCACTTTTTTTTCTCTCCCACTTTTTTAAAGTAAAATATTCACCAATGAAGAATAGCATCACTTGAGCCTGTGTCAAGATAGCTTTCCTCCAAATATCCGCATTTGCTGGTAGCACTGGTAGCCCAGTGTTTGAAAACTCCCGATCCGAGATGAGCTGCCTTCTATGTCAGGCCTTGGGAAGGCAAGCCATGTGACCAGGACACCACAGTGAGGTCTCCTACCTTGTGCAGGCGATTGGACCAGATGACCCTAGATTTCCAGGTTAACTTGATGAAGATGACAGTTAACTAGTTGGTAGGTTGTAATTTAAGAGAGCGAGTCCCTCACCCCAGTCTCATAATTCTTTCCTTGCCTGTTCTGCGTGACCCGTCAGCTGAAGGCTTTGTGTATCTCAGTGAAATATAGTGTCTTAAAAACATTTTCTATTTCAAACACGCACAAGATAGGGTGAGTACAATGAACCCCTGTCCCATTATCCATCTGTAACAAACATCAACCCATCGACACACTTATTTTGTCCTTATTTTTACCTATTACCCCTCCACATTACGTTATTTTGAAGCAAAAATCATATTTAATCCATAAATATTTTAGTACATATCTCTAAAAGACAAGGACCCTTTTTAAAATCAGCTGTCACTGCAGCTTAAAGATAAAAACAACCTTGGCCCTATTCTTTTAACTTTAATTAATTTTGTGGTGTGCCATTATCTATTATAACACATACAGTTTTACACATATTACCATCTTCAGTATGAATCTTAAAATCGATATCACAGCTTAATAAGTGGCATTTGTTTTCGAATGTAGCATAAGATAATGGCACATCTCACATTTGACAATATCAAATTTAATGAAAATGTATTACAAAATGGCTTTCTTTGAATATATAACCTAAAACATTTTCAAGTTACAATTTTCTTGCTTTGAGACCTGAGTAATGAGGGGACAACCTGGGGTCAGTAAGTTCATTTGGAGATCATTTTTTTTAACACTGAACCTCCTCGTCTGTAAACATTTCCTAGGGCTTTCAGTGCAAGCCAGTCTTTTGTCATTGCCTGGCCCCTATCAAGGGTTAAACCCCATCCGCACCCTTTCACCACCCAGACACAATGAAGGAAATGTGAACTAAGACAAGGGGAGAGCCTAGAGTACCTGGGCTGAGGCAGTTCTAAAATAGAAGCTGAAGGGGTGAAGCCACTGCCACCAATACCACGGGGCTGGGTCCCTAAGCTTCCTGTGACCACACTAGGGGTAGGGGTGTTGGCAGCCCTGTGAGAGTCACTGAGGGGAGCCTTTGAGAGGTGACCTAGTCCAGCCCCTGCACTGCCCCAGCCCTGCCCCTTGAAAAGGCCATGTTGTCCCCAAAGACAGAGGGCGAGGCACCACCAAGAGCTGCAGCCAGACAGCTGTACGTTCTTAACTGTAGGCGTTATCCCATAGAAGTGCATGTGAGCTACTGTGAAGCAAAAGTAAAACATCCTGAAAAATCAGGATTACAAAATATTTCAAAAATAGAGATCATTTTATAACTTCCAAGATGCATTTGTAATTCATAGCCTCCTTTTGTTTTTGTTTTTTTAATATTTTTTAAATTTTATTTCAGAGGAAGGGAGAGAGAGAGAGAGATAGAAACATCAATGATGTGAGAGAATCATTGATCGGCTGCCTCCTGCACACCCCCTACTGGGGATCGAGCCCGCAACCTGGACATGTTCCCTTGACCAGAATCAAACCTGGGACCCTTTAGTCTGCAGGCTGATGCTTATTCACTGAGCCAAACAGCTAGGGCCATAGCCTCCTTTTGTTTATGGGTAATGCCAAGGTTTTTTCCCCAGCATCTGTTTGTCCTTCCAAACCTAAACAGCCATGTCCTGGGTGCCACTCTTTCCTAGACACTACCACACCTCAGTGGCCACCAGCTCTGAATCCATGGTACGAGATTCTGTGATGCCTGGCCCTGGCATTGTGTGCGAGTGTGGAGTGGGAGAGGTGTCATGGGGTGTTGTGAGTACCACACCCCAAAGTGGGAACCAAGCCTTCCAGAGACCACCCAAGTGCCCCAATGGGCTGAAAGCCAAAGATTCATACCCTATGAGTCCAGGGACATATATTTTGGGACGTTTTCTGCTTGTGCCTCACAGGTGCAGCTGAGCATTGCATGGTGATTTTGTATTCTTCTGTTTTGCCTCCCCCCCTCCCCCCATTATTTGTTTATTGATTGATTTTAGAGAGGGAGAAGGGGGGGGGGGAGAGAGAGACAGACATTAGTTTGTTGTTCCACTTATTTATGCATTCATAGGTTGCTTCTTGTTTGTGTCCTGACTGGAGATCAAACCCACAACCTTGGTGTATCGGGATGATGATCTAACCCAGTGGTCGGCAAACTCATTAGTCAGCAGAGCCAAATATCAACAGTACAACGATTGAAAATTTTTTTGAAAGCCAAATTTTTTAAACTTAAACTATATAGATAGGTACATTGTTATTAACTTAATTAGGGTACTCCTAAGGCTTAGGAAGAGGCCACACTCAAGGGGCCAAAGAGCCGCATGTGGCTCGCGAGCCGCAGTTTGCCGACCACGGATCTAACCAACTGAGGTACCTGGCCAAGGCAAACTGTTTCGCTTTTAAATCAGAATGGTTTTCTCCCACAACCATCGTTACATAGAAAATTCCTCACTAGTATTTTTCTCTTCAGTTTTTTGATCTGTAAAGTGAGTTGTGAATCAGTGGTTTGGAGAATAATGAAAATTCATTTCACATAGAAGCATCTCTGTAAACATTGCTTATTATTTGCATTACATTCAAGGGGAAGGACGTTGAAATGCACTATTGTGACTTTACCAATAGACCTTGATATTAATAATCTCAAAGACATTGCTTCTGTGTGTTAAGATATTTGTTGCTTTTTGCTCAATAAATGGCACAGTATGAAGCAAATTTAAAATAGTGTTGGAAAACCTGTCACTGAATTAAGTGTGTAACCAAGTTATTAGGTTTTGTAATTTTGCGTTATATCCCTAATTGTAGTTTGTGCCAATATGGTTTTGATTGGCCTGGACCCTGCTTTCTTCAGTTTGAGGTTGCACATGGTGGCCGGGGTGGCAGCGCCCGCAGACGTGGTGCTGCCCAGACAGTAAAGGCCACTCCGTTCTAAAGGGCAGTGAATTGTGCATGTCCTCTCTGACTGGCAGTGGAGTGGCCCAGGGGTCAGAAGTGTCCTAGGTTCTAGCTCTTTAGTTTAGTACTAAACCATGTAATATTTGCAGATAGAAGAATCGGATAAGGAATTTCCCAAACTGCCAAAAATAAATTTGGGATGGGTAATTTTTTAGTTGGTGACTTGAAATACATACATAGCAGTTTGCGGGTGTGTGTGTGTGTGTGTGTGTGTGTGAATATTTCTCTTCAACTGTCTTCACATATATGTGTGTGTGCATACAGACACACATCTTGTTTTAAAGAGTTATTTTAGCAGGTCTGTCATGAGACATGAAAATGCCCAAAGAAATGACTTGTAAAATATATAGTGGATTGGTTATAGCAGGAACAGCAGAGGAGAGTTTATTTACGATCATTATGAGAGGTGTGGTTCTTCTGCCTTCCTAGATGCTATAATCGAAAGTACTTTTGTCATCTCCTATACTTCTCCAAGCTGCTGTTCTCGGGTGGCTGTTCCTTTGCCAGTTGGCAGGGATGAGCCTAGTAAGATAAGAGGCACTGTTTTGTGGGCTAAACTCCAGAGCACCTGGGTCTTATACCTGCACCCAGGCATCCCCCACTCATACTGTCCCTTCTCTTCCGTCCTCCAAAGTGGTTTCAAATGCCTTGGCCCCACTGCACATTTGAAATGAGGTGTGTTTAACCAGGATTTAGTAGAAACAAACTTAATGGTATTCTTAAGTTCATCGGCACCAGTTGGCATTATGTTGTATGAATCAAGGCACGAAGCAGGAGAGGGACAAGGATTGCTTAATATAATGATGACCATCACTGAATTCAAAGCTGTTTTTAGGGGGCCTTAACGAATGTTTCCCTTCTCTTTCCTTTTCAAATGGCTGTTTCCTGACCCATCCCTCTTGCTCCAGGATTTACGCAAGCAGGTAGCGCCACTGCTGAAGAGCTTCCAAGGGGAGGTAAGCGTTTATATTTATTTTATATCCTGAGCCACCCTTCATAGTTTATTGCACTTTCTTTTTATTTTCATTAAGTAAAAGCCATTAACAGAAAGTGCTTACCCAGCCAGAGCTCTCCCAGCTGCACCGACCCAATGTCGTGCTGGGTTTATGTTCCCAATGTGATGTTTCCACTGGGTGGACTGAGCTTGTTTGGACCACAGCCCCGTGAGAGCTGAAGTTCCTCAAGCTCACTGGGTCCCTAGCTGTCCGGGGCCGCAGCCATGAGGCCTCCTGTATGGAAGGGACGGAGCAGGGCATCCTGGTACTCTCACCTGCAGCCGTCAGGGGAAGAGGAATTTCATTTGATTGATCCTTGAAAAAAGACCAACAGGCAGAAGTCATGAGGAACAAGTTTGAGCTCAGTATAAGGAAATGTTTTCTAATCTTTGCTTCCAGAGAAGGACTGGGCAAGATGGTGGGCGGGCTGCCAGTCATCTGAAAGGTGTGCCCTGGCCACCATAGAGCAATATCCACAGAGAGGACAAGTGGTGGAGTTGGCCAACACTCCAGCTCCTACTCTACCCTTTGTGTAGAGACTTGGTGGATTTTAGAAAGCCAGACATTTTGTTATTGGTGTGGAGTTATTTACTCGGCCCTTAGCTTCTCCTGTTGGGCTGATGGAAGTAGTAATACTACTGAGGAAAGGCAGAGAGACTTCCGTAAAGTCCTCTAAAGAACCCGTAGTGGAGGATGTTGGGAATTCACAGAGAACAGGGAGAAGGAGCAGGATTCAGGGAGGTGAGATGGCAAGTTCAGGAGTGACGTGAGGCTGTAGGGTGCCTCCTGGGACACAGCGCTAAGGAGGCCGGAATCCTTGGCAAGTTCCTCAGCATGCGGGTGACAGCAGAGGCCGAGGGAACGAATGAGGTTAGGAAGGTGGCAGTGGGGTGCGAGAGAGGAAGTTCCAGGACAGTGAGGGACTCCTGTAGGAAGACGAAGCAGCAGTGACTGCTGGTCAGCACTGAAGATTTTAGACCAGTGATGGTGCCATTCTCTGTGCATAACTCCTGGCTGCTGGAAGCCCCTGAGCCTTGCTCTGTGAGGCGCGGGGGATGTCACCATCCAGGTCTGGGAAGGGCATGAAATGCCTTTCCCTCAGCAGTACATCTCCGAGCCCTCATTCTATGAGTAAAACTGTCACCTTACACCGACCCACATTTGATCTCATCTCTTTCTTTTACCTGTTCAGCAGCTTTCGTGAGGCCCACTGGCTTAGTGTTTCTCTACCTGAAATAGCTCCGTGTGCTGTTTTCATTTGCTTGTTTTTCTTTCTTTTTGAAAAAGTTCAAGTCTACATAAAAGTAGAAATATTAGTATAATGAATACATGTACACCCTTTACCCAGACTCACCACTTGTTAACATTTTGCCACATTTGCTCCCCACTCTGTTGTTCAACATTAGAAAGTAAGTTGCAGATAGCACAGCACTGTACCCTTAAACATACATGTGTATCTCCTAAAAGTAAGAATATTCCCTGACATTTCCACAATAACCCCAAGTATCCCACCTGGGGAAATTAATACTAATTCCATAATATTCAATATTCAGATCAAAATAAAATTTTCCCAGTTATCCCCGAATTGTGTCTTAAAACTGCCCTGCCCCACCCAGGTTTCAATCAGGTTCATGTATTGCATTTGGTATATATATATTTCTTTTTTATTCCATAACTATCCCTCCTATACCTACCTCCACCCAACCCCCCATAATCACCACACTGTTGTCCGTGTCCATGAGTGTTTCTCTCTCTCTCTCTCTCTCTCTCTCTCTAATATAGAATGCTCTCTCCACCACCTCTTACCTTTGTTATTATTTTTCATTCTAGATAGGGTAATGGGTTTGGTTCTAGATAGTAAATTTGAAATGCCTGAGAAACATCAAGGCTTCCTATTTGGCTATATTTTAAAGGCTATTTATAAAGTAAAGATTTTTATAGTACCATTAATATTTAGGAAGCCTTTGCTAATTAATATATATTTATATATGTAAAATCTGTGTTACTAGCACACTGATCGTAGTGGAAGGGACTAAATCCTGCTTGTTTCTGAAGAATGGACTTTTATGCAGAGGGCAGATGGGGACCACACGTGCAGGGTTGGTTTTCTGCTGAGCGAGGCCAGAAGGCAGCCTGTCTTGGTGCTTCGCTGGAGCAGGACCCGTTCAGCTTGCTTTTCTAAAATGCTGCCTTCTCTGATCAGAGGTTTGTTCTTGTACCCTTCATTAGTGTTTGCTGAGTGCAGTTTTATTTATTGGATATATTATTTGAGTCATCCCAAGGTGCTTGAGTTCCCCTTGGAAAAATGTATGGTATTAGAAAAAACATGTTCTTTGCCTCAGAATTCATATAGATTACTTCCCTATTTGAGATCCCCAAAAGAAAAAACAAAATAAAGCTTTCAGACAGCAGTAAATTCACACAAGACTTCAGTGTTCTTGCAAGAAACACATTTGTAGTGTGTTATAGAGTCAGGGGAAACATGAACCTCACTGGGCACCACTTTTAGGCCCCTCCGTGTTTTCTTGTTCTCAGGGTAAATCCAGGCACCTTCTTTCTGGTGGTTTATGAGACACACATGATGGTAACTGCTTGCCTTTCTAGACTTTTCTTACTAGGAAAGTCCATCACACAGCCAATCTGAATTTCTACCAGGCCCTCATGCGTCGTGGCCTCACCAGCCTCCAAGCCTTTGAATGGGCTGACCTCTTCCTGAGACTCCTTCCTCCTTTCACTTCTCCTGGCTCACTTCTGCTTGATGTCCCTTCCTCAAGAAAAGCCTTTTCTGAGCCTCAGTGATAGGCCAGGACCCCTGAACCGAGTGCTCCTATTGCACGCCACACTACTTGTGATGCGTTTGTCATCATTCCTGAGAGCTGCCTGTGACTTTGTCTCTGTTCCCCATGAGTCTGTAAATGTGTGACGGCAACCTCTGTGTCCTGTCTTGGCCATTTGTATTCCCAGCACCTGGCATAGCAACGGGAACTAAAGTATTTGGGCTCTCAGAAATAGTTACTGAATAAATGCTGGAACATGAGGTTCCTCAGGAGGCCGTTTTTAAAACATTTGCCTTTATCTTTTCTTCAGGTTATGTGCTGCTAATAAGGTGAAAGGGATCCCAGAATGTTTGCTTGGAAAATCCATTAGAAAAAACTAGTAAATAACTGTATTTGTTGTCCTTGATTAAAAAGCTTGGAATACTAGAGTCATAACAATTACTTATAATTCTTAGAGCAAAGTCATCAAATTTAACTTACATTGAAATTAGATTTATTTATTTCTCTAAGTTTGTGTTTAACAAGCCCCGCCAACTGATTAATGGGATTAAGAGTAACCTAAATGGTCAATTCAGTTTACGGTATATTTTAGTTCAGTCATTTAGACAATCCCTTCAATGAAATGACACTCACACTCTCTAGAAAAATGCTAAGTCTTTCAAATTGTCTCCCTCTCTCCTGGCTTCTCTCCCTGAGAAGGGTCATGGTAAGGAGGGTTGAGGGGGTCAGGAGTTGGCTTAGACCCCCACTCCTCTTGGTAGGAGAGCAGGTTGCTTAAACCAAGTGTTCTCAGGGAGGAAAATCTCCTCTTAAATAACTTAGGCCTTTATATTAGAGAGGAAATAAAAGACTGAAAAATTGATTAGCTTTGCACCCAGCTTAAATAATCATAAAAGTACAATGGAAGAAGTTCAAAGACAATAGGAAGAAAGAACTAGTCAAAAAAATTTAATAATAAAAATATATAAGAATGAAAATGAATGAGAAAGAAAACAAAGAATAGCCCCAAAGTTGGTTCTTTGAAAAGCCTACTTACAATAGACAAAGTACCTTCCTAATTAAGAAAAAAAAAATGTAGGAGTGATAATGGAGATAACTGCAGCTACAGCAGAGATTAAAAAGATAACGGGAATATTATAGTAAATTTTATGCCAATAAATTTTAAACCTGAGACAAAGTGGACAAATTTTTAGAATACTATAACATCAAAGCTGATTAAAGATGAAGTAGAAAACCTGAATAGCCTTACAGCTATTATAGAAATATTTCCACAAGGTCTAGAAATTTTTATGAGAGAATTCTATCAATCATTCATAAAATAGATAGTTCTAATCTTTTTCAAACTTCTTCAGAAAATCGAAAAAGAGAGAGCGACTAGTGTTACCTTGATGTCAAAACTAGACAAGAACAGTGTAAGAAAGGAATATTGAAGCAGTTTTATTTATTTGTTTATTTATTTAACAACACACGTTTATTATAAGTTTGAAGATCAGAGGTCTTTTAAAGACTGTAGGCATGGAATTTATTTCCTTGCTTTCTCCAGCTTCCCAAGGTGGCGCACTTTCCTTGGCTCATGGTCCAGCATCACTCTGACTTCTGCTTTTGTTTTTTGTTTTGTTTTGTTTTAAATAATTGTTTATTGTTGAAAGTATTACATATGTCCCCTTTTTCACCCATTGACCCTATACAGCCTGCCCCTGCCTCCTGCCCCAGGCCTTCAGCACCCTATTGTCTGTGTCCTTGGGTTATGCATATGTGCATTCAAGGTCTTTGATTGATTACCTCCCATCCACCCATCCTCCCCACCTACTCTCTGAGATTGCACACTCTGTTCCATGTCTCTGGATCCACTTTGTTCGTCAGTTTATTTTGTTTCTTAGATTCTACACATGAGTGTGATCATGTGATACTTGTCTTTCTCTGACTGACTTATTACACTTAGCATGATACTCTCCAGGTCCCTCCATGCTGTCTCAAAGGGTAAGAGATTCTTCTTTTTTACTGCTGCATAGTATTCCATGGTATATATATACCACAGTTTTTTAATCCACTCATCTACTGATGGGCACTTGGGCTGTTTCCAGATCTTAGCTATTGTAAATTGTGCGAAGCAGTCTAATTTATGAATAGATACATAGAAGTCCTTCAAAAGTACTGGTAAATCCATCAAGCTTTCTGTATGCC